AATGAGTGTTTGAAAGGTAGCTTACTGTATAAACTGCAGAATAAAGCTAAAGCAAAGTTATTTTGAGAGGAACGCCAAAAAGATTTTAGGTTTTGAACACTTTTCATCGCAAATATGCGAGATTGAAAAAATGTCATACAGCTGTCATATAAAATTGCATACCGCTGGCTCAACCTATCTTGGCCTTCATAATCCTGGATGGCACAAAAACCTCGTCCAATAACTGTTTACTATCTATCATTACAGGTACAACTCACTCGGCCGCACGAATATCAGTATCCCATGGTGTGCATCGAGTCATGCATGATTCCCCCATTGTACCGTTTGCCATTTTCCTATACGGGTACGCCCGTGCAGATTCCTATGGTTATCCGGGTGGACTGCGATTGGCTGATCTTACGCTGGAGTGCGTGCCAGGGCACCCAGGGGATGGCTTGGATAACGATTGTGATCGAAGGATTGATGAGGAAATCAAGAACTTTATTGATGATGATAATGACGGTATAATAATATTTGCATGTTTTTTATACGATGGGTAAATCATCTCACTCAGTATTTTGAGGTATTTTGAAGAGTGAAGAAAATCAATTTATATAATAACTACATGATTATTACGATTTATTACGATAATTTATTACGATTTTCTCTAGGTCGTATCGACGAGGATTTGGTAACCGAACCGCCAGAGATCGTCCTAGATCTTGATACAGTTCTGCTCAACGGCTGTCCCGCACAGGTGAAGAAAAAACTGAAAGAACCAAACGTTATTTCGGCCCCGCTGTGTAGCAGCAGAGGACCAATCAAATTGTCGTACGTGGACAACGTGTACGAGAAAGACTGCGTGCAGTATATTGACCGAATGTGGCTTGTGCGGGACGGTTGCGGGAACCTCGCGAATGCCACGCAGCAGATACGGATCAGGCGACCCGAAATGAGCGTCACGTTTCCTGATGATGTGCGAGGGAAATGCCGTTTAGGCGAGGTAAGGAAAAAACCCCACAGTATTCTGGTCAGCGCGCGTCATCTTTTGACCATGCGCATCAACATGTTTTTTATGATAACCGCTTATTTAATTTCAAGGAAATTTTCTTCCCAGGTCAAGGAAATATACTGAAATTTTGACACGAAAGTAACATGTTAGATGTTTATGAATACATATTAGTATGATTTAATGCTGGCATATTTTTGTGAGAGAATATAACATATTCTTAATAGACATTTCCCCTTTTGAGTGAAATTTTGATCTAGACAAGTCTGGACAAAAATTTCATCACAGCTTGAAAGAGCATTACAAAGTTAGTAATATTCCGAAGTTGCGTTGTCAAACTGATTACCAATTTCCTATTTGTAATACAAAATTACTGAAAAACAGCAAACTTCGCAAGGCTGTATTATCCGCATTTTACAACATTTCGCAACGAAACTTCGGAATATTACTAATTTTGTGATGCTCTTTCAAGCTGTGATGAAATTTTTATCCAGGCTTGTCTAGATCAAAATTTCACTCATAAGGGGAAAGGTCTATTGGGATTCATATTTGATATATTTCTATTATTTTATACAGCTGAACATTTAATATTATTCTATATAGTAGCACTTACATTGTATCCTATGTAAACTTGATGACAGTTTAATATTAAGCATAAAAAATCAATGTACACTGCATGCACTTACAGAAACTAGAAATGTACTATTTCTGCAAAACGCGTTCCAATAAAGGAAGAAATGTACTCACTATTTCTGCAAAACGCGTTCCAAAGGAAAAAATGTACTCACTATTTCTGCAAAACGCGTTCCAAAGGAAAAAATGTACTCACTATTTCTGCAAAACGCATTCCAAAGGAAGAAATGTACTCACTATTTCTGCAAAACGCGTTCCAAAGGAAAAAATGTACTCACTATTTCTGCAAAACGCGTTCCAAAGGAAAAAATGTACTCACTATTTCTGCAAAACGCATTCCAAAGGAAGAAATGTACTCACTATTTCTGCAAACGCGTTCCAAAGGAAAAAATGTACTCACTATTTCTGCAAAACGCGTTCCAAAGGAAAAAATGTACTCACTATTTCTGCAAAACGCATTCCAAAGGAAGAAATGTACTCACTATTTCTGCAAAACGCGTTCCAAAGGAAAAAATGTACTCACTATTTCTGCAAAACGCGTTCCAAAGGAAAAAATGTACTCACTATTTCTGCAAAACGCATTCCAAAGGAAGAAATGTACTCACTATTTCTGCAAAACGCGTTCCAAAGGAAAAAATGTACTCACTATTTCTGCAAAACGCGTTCCAAAGGAAAAAATGTACTCACTATTTCTGCAAAACGCGTTCCAAAGGAAAAAATGTACTCACTATTTCTGCAAAACGCGTTCCAAAGGAAGAAATGTACTCACTATTTCTGCAAAACGCGTTCCAAAGGTTTTTTAAAGAAAAAAACCCCCAACAAAAAAACACCTGAAAAAAGCCGTGGGCGCGCGTCAATTTTGGAGAGAGAAACTGATTGGATACCGAATACTTTCACTTTTTTCTCCTAATTGTAAATCAACTAAAAGATTCTGTATATATTACTTAAAACACTGACAAGCCCTTCTCGAATTCAAAGTAACCTTCTGCGCCAAGCTTCAGCAGTTATTTATTGTTTCAGGATATGTCTGTAATGGGTGAGCCGAGAGTGAGAATGAGCTGCAAGGAAGATCGTTTCTCAGTGAAGTATCGCGATACTCCAGCATTGATCGAGTGCATCAGACGAGGAAGAACCATTGCTAGAGAGTGGACTGTCAAGGCCTCGTGTGGTAGCGTTATTAAACACATGCAGAAGTTGTTGCCAGGTATGTATTTCAACCATCTTCACCTCTATATGTGATCAGCTCTCCTCAGACCTAAAAGTATCAAAAAACGGGTCGGACATATATGTATTGTGATGTCCGATGACTTTGAGTTCAGTTTGGCTTGGAAACAAGCTAAGTACACTGAACTATAAATAAACTGGAAGGCTAACTGCTATGATGAAGGCCTATGATTTGATGAAGCCAAAATAGTTTTTCTGAGTTATGAGCAGAAATACTTGACCCCAAACGTCGGGCTATATATCAAATTGAAGCTATTGAAAATTGCTATTCGGTGTGGAAATTTCAAGACTTCAGCGAAAAGAAAAATATTTAAAAAATACAAAAACAACTGCAAAACGGCAAATTATCGGTAATTATGTTTGTAGTTTTTCAATATAGCTTCAATTTGATATATTGCCCAACGTTCAGTGTTGAGTATTTCTGCTCATAACTCAGAAAAATTAAAATGCACTGACTTCAATCCCCCCCCCCCCTGAGTTAGCCTTCCAGTTTATTTATAGTTCAATGGCTAAGTATGAATGCAGACACGAATTAATATCAGCACAATTTGGAAAAGTCATTTGAATCTTGGCAATGAATTTCCGAACCCACGGTGAAAACCCCTCACTTGATTACACATTTCCAGTTCACTATTTATATACCTATATATACTGATCCTCAATTTAACATACGAAACTCTACTTTCAAGTCACTTATCACCTGTCCATTCCGCCTCACCTTGCTTTAGTACTGTGCAAACTCCGGTTTTTCACGTCCGAGATTATATTAAAGACTATAAATACAAAAGTCTTAAATCGTTACCAGCTCAAGACTTACACACGCAAAAATCTCACATCTTGTAGCAAGTCAGCCAACAACCCGTCGACAAGTTGTTTTCGCACCGCTTGTTCCGAGTTATCAACAAGTTTGGAACAAGCTGTTAACAACTTGTAACAACCTTGTTGATATTATCAGACTTGTTGCGAGGTTGTTCCAAGAAGTCCGATACAGTCATGATATAACAATATTGTTACAACCTTGTGTCGTCAACCTTGTAACATTCTTGTTATATATCATGACTGTATCAAACTTGTTAGAACAACCTTGTAACAAGTCTGATAATGCCATCAAGCTTGTTGCAAGTTGTTAACACCTCGTTGCAAACTTGTTACAACAACTGGGAACAAGCAGTGCGAACACAACTTGTCGACAGCTTGTCAACAAATTTGTAACAACTTGTTTGCAGACTTGTAACAATTTGTGCGTTTTTACAAGATGCGAGATTTTGCGTGTGTACAAGTATACAGTACAAATCTTGAATTGTCGCATCCTGGCTTACATTTTTTTCTCATTTCTTTCCCAAGATGTCACTCCTCCTAAGATCAACTTTGTTGGACAACTTCAATACCGCGTGAAGCGAGATTTCAGAATCAGCTGGAATGCAAGTGAAGAAGCCACATTCGAGTGTGCGTTGGACGGACCGAACGAACCTCGTCCATGCGGGAAAGGTTGGGGTGAAACGTGGTCAAAACGTGATATACCTGACGGAAAACACGTGTTCTGGGTTAGGGGAACTGATCTCGCAGGCAATACTGGAGCATATATCAGACACCCGTTTCAAGTTGGTAAGAATTGTAGTAATATTATAATAGTAATATTATACTGTATATTGGCTTTTACCATGTATTTTAAATTAAAGCCATACCATGTATTTTAAATTAAAGCCATACCATGTATTTTAAATTAAAGCAATAACTCTATAAGCACCCCCCCTAGAGAAATCTATTACCACCCTAAGAACATCTGTTTGACCCATACATTTTTAGCCTGCGAACAGGCTCTCTTTGAACTCTCTTTGAAGAGCCTGTTCGCAGGCTATACATTTTCTGCTTTTGGAGCAGCGATTAGCTCAATCTCGTTCCCAGAGTATGCCTGTTCGCGGGTTAGGTAGTGTCATGCCACTACCTAACCCGCGAACAGGCATACTCTGGGAACGAGATTGCGATTAGCTCTACTGTTAACGCGTGTCGATTTCTTGAAACGATTTAATTGATTTGTGAGCTCACGAGAAAATACTCAGATTGCTTTATTTAAAGGCACAGTTCAGCGTTTTGAATGATGGTTTTTAAGGCGCATTTTAGCCCTTTTAATTGAAAAAAACTAACTAGGAAAATCAATTAAGCATAATTCAAGATCAGCAAACTTAATGTTTTTAACATTTTAAAACATTCTTATTGTCAAAAACATTCAGTTTACTGATCTTGAATTATGCATAATTGATTTTCATGGTTAGTTTTTTTTAAAAACCATCAATCAAAACGCTGAACTGTGCCCTCAAAATACATTTATTAAACTCTGCACAATTCAGCTGTTAGCTGCGATTCAGATTTTTAATAAATTCAAATCAACTATGTTTTCTTTCAGATAACACTGGACCACGCCTTGAATTTATGCAGCCATTGCAATCGCTAAGCCAAGGTCCTATGGTAATCAAATGGAGATCAAACGAAATGGCAAGATTCAAATGTGGGCTCAATCCAGAAAGGCTAGAGCAGTGTGGTTCTGGCACGGAGGGGAAGGACTACAGAAGAGACCTCCGCGATGGTACCTATAGCTTTTATGTTGGAGCTGTGGATCAAATTGGAAACGAGGCTACGATAATCAAACATACATTCAGAATCGGTATGTGATGTATTTGTATGAGGAAATGCAGATTAATTTGAGGTTTGAGGCTATGCAGTGTTGATATAATAGTATGGTACTGTATTTTGTGTGCTGTGGTATATGACATGGTATGCTGTGGTATATTATGCTGTGACATGGTGTGCTTTGTTCTGGTTTTGTATGGTATGGTATGGTATGGTATGGCATGGTATGGTATGGTATGGTATGGTATGGTATGGCATGGTATGGTATGGTATGGTATGTGTGGTATCGTATACTGTGTAATATGCTATGGTATAGTAATATGGCATTGTATGGAACTGTATGTACTATTTAAAACACGCGCAGCACGAGCATTTTAGATATGATAAAACACGACTACAAGTGTTTTGAATAGCTTCAAACACGGCTACAATAGATGTCGTCTCATTAGTATTCTCTTTAATTTACCGTCACATAACCTATATTTCCTCATATTATTTAGATTCGACTCCACCCCGCATCAAATTTGGTAAATCATCGCGACCCACACTCAACTCTAGGGTGGATCTCCCTGTCCTATCAAACGAATTTGCCAGGTTGAATTGCTCTCTTGATGACCAACCTTACATCCCTTGCGGAATTGGTCTGAAGGGGAGATTTGTCGCACGAAATCTGGCAGAAGGTCCTCACGAATTAATAGTAAAAGCTGTAGACGAAGCAGGCAATCAGGCAGACCCAATCTCCTTGAAATGGAATTCTGGTAAGTTTTGTTATATAAGAGACATAAAGATGGACGTTTACGACAGACGGTTAACTGCAAACGGCAAACTAAATCGTATTTTGAGGTGAACTGTCAGCTGTTCGAAGTTAGGACAATTTCATGTGCATTAAAATTGGAGCATGAATTTATTTATTAAAGGGCATATGACTCGGAAATTGACGGTGTAATTTTTTAGTCCAATTTGAAAGATCATTGAAAATTGTAGAGTAACTTCTTTGACAGATTTTTGTTTTCTTGCTTCGTTTTGGAGATATTTTATTTTGTATGATATGCAAAGGACCAACTTTCTACGTCACACATGCATTACTTACTTTAAAATGTTATGTAATTTTGTCACTATCAAATAAATCGCTCAAAATGAATAATGAGCACGAGATTTGTCCACAACAACACCCATGTAGGTTTTCTACTGATTGTGTTTAGTCGTATTAAAGATGTACAGCTTTTAGGGATAAATCATTATGCATGTGTGACGTAGGAAGTTGGTCCTTTGCATATCATACAAAATGAAATATCTCCAAAACGAGGGAAGAAAACAAAAATCTGTCAAAGAAGTTACTCTACAGTTTTCAATGATCTTTCAAGTTAGACTAAACGTTCATACAAACATGACAATACAACAGCAGAACATGCACATCACTGAATCTAACAACATCGCCTTCAGCTACAGCAAGCTATTTCATTGTTCATATTCCGAGGACAGTTACATCTTAAACATATTGTCTTCCATGTTCTTGGATCATCTGTATCATAACGACCATTGAGGGCAGATGTAGTATACCAACAATAACGATTTAAATTGATGTTGTCCATCCTCAAGTTCAGTTGTAGTGCATTCCAAATTCTAATTAACTTAGCTTATAATTAGCTGTATCTAAGGCTGGTTTACACTATCAAAGTTTCTGTGATCACAGTAGGAATTTTGCAAAGGTAAATTCTAAGTTTCGAAGGATTTGTAAGAAATGTGTGAGAGAATTGACTCAGTGTTAAAGTGCATATGACATGAAATTTTTTATTTTCTTAAATGAAAGAACTCTTTAAGCTGTAGTGTAACTTATTTTTCAGTTTCTTGTTTTTATGGTTTGTTCCCGAGATATTTCAATTTGTTTTGTATGTTAATGAGTGTGAATATGTCCGCTAATTTATGACGTCATGTTGGTTGCAGGCTCCTTAAAATGGTTGAATATCAGTGCTATCATCTAGGATAATAATTTCAAAATTCACTCACTGGTAAATGTGATAAATACAGGATTAAAATGTAAACTGATATCTACAGTTTTTAGAGTTAATAGATTTTTTGTTATATAAAGTACTGTGCTTTATGTACTATTTAAAAAACGAGCGGGAGTGTTTTATTAGGTTTAAAGCCACAAGAGCGCAGCGCGAGTGGCTTTAGACCTAATAAAACACGACCCGCGAGTTTTTTAAATGACTTCAAAAACGTACGCATAATAAGTCAAATCTTTATATAAAAACCTTTATATAAAAATCTTTATATAAAAATCTTTATATAAAAATCTTTATATAGTTTGCATAACAATGGTCTTTTGTTAAAGTGTTCTTTAGCTGGTATAAAGACGTATGCACGTGACTAATTTCTTACTCAAGATTGGATAATTGCTTCATGAATTATTAATGAGTTTTTGAAAGAGATTTCAAAAACTCATTAATAATTCAGGAGGAAAACACAAAGAAAAATTATAAGCGTGTCGTGGTTTTATATGTGATAAAAAATCATGTTATTTTACATAAACTTTAGCTTTGATTTTCTCGGTTTAGACAAAGTTTATTTTAAAAATTACTTCGCAAATGAACTCGTATAAGATGAGTCGTTTTTGAAGCCATTTAAAGCACTTGTAGTCGTGTTTTATCACATATAAAACACTCCGCTACGCGTCGTGTTTTATATGTGATAAAACACTCCTACGCGTGCTTTAAATAGTACTTCGAGCACTGATAAAAGTAGTGATAATCTCACATGTGAGATTATTCATAATAATCTCACATGTGAAAATTATCGCTTTTCAATTATCGCTTTTCTGTAAAAATTATCGCTTTTCAAAGACTATCCTTTATATAATAAACACAAAAATACATGGGTGCTTGGAAATACCAGATTTATTTCTCGTGTTCAACATGATATCTCACTCGTTCGCCGTTCGCTGCGCTCACTCGTGAGATATCATGTTCATCTATCTCGGGAACAAACCATAAAAACAAGAAACTGAAAAATAAGTTACACCACAGCTTAAAGAGTTCTTTCATTCAAGAAAATAAAAAATGTCATGTCATATGCACTTTAGACATCAAATATTTCATAGAAATCCTTCAAAACTTATGCAAAATTCCTAATGTGATCATATAGAAACTTTGATAGCGTAAACACTAGCCTTTAGGTGTCGAAAATGTGAAGAATGCGATTTGAAGTTTGTCGTTTGCCGTTATTAAAACTTTTAATTTGTTTAAACTGAAAATTCCGTGTATTCCACATCAATCCAAAATTCCAGCTCACAAATCGTTCCATTTCTCACACACATTTCAGACAAAACTTCCCCAAACATTCTCTTCACGCCTGGATTGCCGACGAAGTTCCGTGAGAGGCCTAGAGCGACCTGGACCTCGACAGAATATGCAAGATTTGAGTGTTCCCTCGACGACGACACTCGATTCAGATCCTGCGGCCGAGGCACGCGTGGACAGTGGACCAAAAACCGAGTGCCCGCGGGAGTCCACGATTTATTTGTGCGCGGCACAGACAGGCATGGCAATGTTGGACCCACTGCAAGTTTCAGGTTTTCCATAGGTGAGTAGGAATCTGTGAGTTGGTTTTGTATTTTCAGAGCTCAAAATAATGGGAGATAGGTCTCCGGTCAAAATGATCGGTCAACTTGATTTTAGCTCGGTCAAAGTCTGTTTTTGACCGGTCATTGATACGCTTACGCTACTAACAGTGAAATAAACTATTAGAAACTTGTTTCGATACATCATAGGTTCATGTTTGAATTCAAGACGTCAGCAATCGCATTGGAAGGCATGAAAATGTGACCGGTCAAGAGACTTTTTTGGCTACAATATCCTCGTTTGAGCCTAATAGTTTACAACATTCTTTTACTCGTGTCAACATCAATTTATCCTTGACTTTAGTAATTTGTGGTGAGCCGAAAACCGTGAAATGAAATCAAGTCAATCGCTCAAAAATGTTTTCCTCTGTGTTGTCGACTTGTCGTTACTATGGTTCGTCAACTCTGCACGAATCTCCTTCTCCTATAGTAACACCATAGTTAATAGAATAGATGGTTTGGAAACTCATTAGAATAACAATATAACTCATTATCTATGTTACTCAACGTTTATTCATAAATCTTGTCGTTCACGGGCACGTGCCTACTGTATTTTTGCCCAACTAACCAATAGTAATATTAGTCTTAGGAAAGTTACCTATCCGTGACTCGAACAATAGGGTAAATTGAAAATTGCTATTGGTGGATTTGGCAAGAACACAATACACACGTGACGGTGGACGACTATGTTTATAAGTAATAGCATAGAAAGAGGCGAATTAGCTATTAAAACGTCCCGCCCGATGAGGGTCGTTTAGTAAAATTCCCTTGGGCGCCACTCGATGAGGGTCATTTTTTCGGCCCGAGGGAATTTTACTAAATGACCCTCATCGAGCGGCGCCCAAGGGAATTTTACTAAACGACCTTCATCGGGCGGGACGTTTTCAATAGCTAATTCGCCTCTTTCTATGCTATTACCTTGTAATATCATGATTGCGGGTATTCCCGTTGTTCTCGCAAAACCAATTAACAATAAATAATGGTATAAATTAAATGGTATAATTGTTTTCCATTTCTTTGTTTAGTTTTGGCGATTTCAGATATATTCATTTTTTCTAATCGTACCCGCTTTGACGTCGTTTCGGGTAGGATTACAACTAATTCTACCTGACATGACGTAAAAGCGGGTACGATTAGAAAAAATGAATATAAATGAAGATATCTGAAATCGCCAAAACTAAACAAAGACAGGGAAAACAATTACACCATTTAATTTATACCATTATTTATTGTTAATTGGTTTTTAATGAGAGAACAACGCCAACGGGAATACCCGCAATCATGATATTATAAGGTAATAGCATAAAAAGAAGCGAATTAGCTATTGAAACGTCCCGCCCGATGAGGGTCGTTTAGTAAAATTTCCTTGGGCGCCGCTCGATTCGGGTCATTTAGTAAAATTCCCTCGGGCCTTCGGCCCTCGGGAATTTTACTAAATGACCCTCATCGAGCGGCGCCCAAGGGAATTATACTAAACGACCCTCATCGGGCGGGACGTTTTAATAGCTAATTCGCTTCTTTTTATGCTATTACTTATAAATAAACGTTGACTAACATAGATAATGAGTTATGTTGTTATTCTAATGAGTTTATAATGTTATTCTATTAACTATGGTAACACTATGGACCGCTAAGGAGAACAGTGTCCGCAATTGTTTTGAAGTCGGCATCTGCCAGAATCTGAAAATATCCCAATAATGTGGACAGGGTCGGCGAGAGGCGGGGGGGGGGGCGGATTTCCCCCGGGCCCCCACCTTAATAGGGCCCCAACTTGAGAGCGAGAGCCTAAAATTGAATAGGTTTTTTAAATTGGTCAGAGCATTTTGAAATTGAGGGCCCCTTACAGTAGCTCCACATGCAGTCTAGCTAAGGTCTGACTTGGGTCTAGCTTAAAAATAATGATATCATGAGCCCCCCAGAGAAGATTTGCCCCGGGCCCCGCGACTTATCTCGGTGGCCCAGAATGTGGACCCACCTTTGAAATGTCTGTTTCACTCTATTTTAGACAACAAGTATCCAATAGTTTACCTGAACGAGCCACTACCTAGGACCTCTACCAGCCAAACAGCGACATTCAGATGGACCAGCAATGAAATGGCTTACTATAAATGTGCTGTGAATGATACGAGCAAGTTTGTAAACTGTGGTAGTGGCACTACTGGCGACTGGACTACACCGCCATTGTCAGATGGCAAACATACGTTTTATCTCACTGCCAAAGATGAAGTTGGAAATAATGCACCGAGTTTGAGCCATTCGTGGAACATTGGTGAGTTGGAGCTGGTTCTATGTAAGGTTAAGTAGAATTAAGAAAAAACACGAAAGATTAGTCCAGTCTAATTAATGTGTGGCAGCACTTTTCCAGTCCCAGGACTTGATCAAACTTCATCCAGTCTTAGGACTTGATCAGACTTCATCCAGTCCAAGGAATTGATCAAACTTCATCCAGTCCTAGAATTTGATCAAACTTCATCCAGTCCTAGAATTTGATCAAACTTCATCCAGTCCTAGAATTTGATCAGACTTCACCCAATCCTAGGACTTGATCAAACTTCATCCAGTCCTAGGACTTGATCAAACTTCATCCAGTCCTAGGACTTGATCAAACTTCATCCAGTTCTAGGACTTGATCAAACTTCATCCAGTCCAGGGACTTGATAAAAACTTCATCCAGTCCTAGGACTTGATCAAACTTCATCCAGTCCTAGGACTTGATCAAACTTCATCCAGTCCTAGGACTTGATCAAACTTCATCCAGTCCTAGGACTTGATCAAACTTCATCCAGTCCTAGGACTTGATCAAACTTCATCCAGTCCTAGAATTTGATCAAACTTCATCCAGTCCTAGAATTTGATCAAACTTCATCCAGTCCTAGAATTTAATCAGACTTCACCCAATCCTAGGACTTGATCAAACTTCATCCAGTCCTATAAGACTTGATCAAACTTCATCCAGTCCTAGGACTTGATCAAACTTCATCCAGTCCTAGGACTTGATCAAACTTCATCCAGTCCTAGGACTTGATCAAACTTCATCCAGTCCTAAGACTTGATCAAACTTCATCGAGTCCTAGGACTTGATCAAACTTCACCCAGTCCTAGGACTTGGTTAAACTTCATCTAGTCCTAAGACTTGATCAAACTTCATCCACTCCTAAGATTTGATCAAACTTCATCCAGTCTTAGGACTTGATCAAACTTCATATTTTCATAAGACGTGATTAAATTTCATCTAGTCCTTAGAACATGATTGAACTTCGTCCTGTCCCATGACGAATTTGTTAATGAACCAGTTATACTTATTTATAATTTGGTTTTCAGCAAAAACGGAATAGACGTTTTGAACAGGGTAATGGCCCTGAAAGATTGCCATTTTTGTTAAAGAAAGATCATATTTGTTTACCATATTGTGTATTCAAACTGTATGCCTTGAGAATATTATATTAAAACAACGCTATAATGTTCTTTCTGTAGATACTATTTCTCCTGTGCTGAACTTCATCGGAACGTTACCGGATAATGTAAACAACAACAATCAGAAATTCAGTTGGACTTCATCAGAGTATGCGCAGTTCACCTGTTTCATTGATTCTGAGACACAGCCTATTCCATGCGGTTCTGGGAAAAGGGGAAGCTGGACTTCTGGCGAACTGCTTGATGATTCACATACGTTCAGAGTGTTTGGTACAGACACTTATGGAAACCAGGGACCTGTTATTCAACACACTTGGGACATTGGTAGGTATTTGGTATTTTTTTTTGCTCTGCACTGTACTGTACTGTACTGTACTGTACTGTACTGTACTGTACTGTACTGTACTGTATTGAAGTGCTACTTTCTTGTCATTTTTAGCCTAAAAACTCCACATTCCCAAGGAGAAACTAGTTTAATTAATCGACGTAAATTGACGTTTAAGAAATAACAAGAAATTCCGTATTAAATTGTTAAAAATGAAAATTCCGGGTAAAACACGACCCTTGCTGGACAATTTGCTTCCAGCAAGAACAGTTTAGAACTGATAGAGCTACCCAGTATAAATAAAGTTAGTTTAGTTTAGGTTTCCTCCTGTAGTAACACTTGATTAATAAGAGATGACCCTTACTGGTCCTCGAGGAAGAACAGTTTAGAACTGATAGAACTACCCAGTATAAATAAAGTTAGTTTAGTTTAGGTTTCCTCCTGTAGTAACACTGGATCAACAAGAGATGATCCTTACTGGACCTCTAGGAAGAACAATTTAGAACTGATAGAGCTATCCAGTATAAATAAAGTTAGTTTAGTTAAGGTTTCCTCCTGTGGTAACACTGGATCAACAAGAGATGATCCTTACTGGACCTCTAGGAAGAACAATTTAGAACTGATAGAGCTATCCAGTATAAATAAAGTTAGTTTAGTTTAGGTTTCCTCCTGTAGTAACACTGGATCAATAAGAGATGACCCTTACTGGTCCTCGAGGAAGAACAGTTTAGAACTGATAGAGCTATCCAGTATAAATAAAGTTAGTTTAGTTTAGGTTTCCTCCTGTAGTAACACTGGATTAATAAGAGATGACCCTTACTGGTCCTCGAGGAAGAACAGTTTAGAACTGATATAACTACCCAGTATAAATAAAGTTAGTTTAGTTTAGGTTCGCTGACCTGTACATAACATTAAGCGAAGTTTAGGGAGAGCAGTTTAGAACAGAAAGAGCTATCTAGTATAAACCTATAAGATAGAACCAACTGTCTAGTGTCCAGTGCATTTCTAAATTAACATGTTCTATTTCAGACACACAAGCACCAACTGTGAATCTTGCCAAAGTGCCTGATACTATAAACAAACCTAACGCGCAATTCAATTGGACATCAAGTGAACCTGCCACATTCAAGTGCGCTCTGGATGATGACATAGAGGGTGAAGAGTGTGGCGAGGGGACAGATGGGGATTATCTTACACCAACCTTGGTTGATGGGGAACATGAGTTTAGATTACTGGTTGAGGACAAGGTCGGCAATTTGGCACCCTTGATCCGCTCCAAATTTAATATAGGTAAATAGTGTCTCACAATGTAGGGTAGATATCAAGATTTTTTTGTGGCATCTAACTAAAAGAGGTTCAATTCCTGCAAGGGACCTAAAGTTGCATTTTTCGCTTCTATTCCTGGTTAGGTGTAATAAATGTATATAAATTTCCACTTGACAATTTCCATCTACAATACCCATCAAATATTATTCATTCCAGTGAGATGCAACAAAAATGTTGATATTTACCCATAACCTATACATGGCAGTAATCTAGTATACATACATAAACTTGTGGTTAGAGCTCGACAACTGGTCCCTGTAGCTCAGTTGCGCGCGTCTGTAGCTCAGTTGCCTTTATATAATACCTTATTGAATTCTGATCGTTTAATTGGCTGTTTATGGTCACGTGATATTGAATAGAAAATTCCATTTCCCAAGAGTGCAATGGAATACGTTCCATTGCACTCTTTGCGAGTGCAATTGTACTATATACGTTTTATTCCATTGCACTCTTTGGGTTTTCGATAAATCGCATCCGTCAAAATGCTTCTCGTACGGTGATCGTAGTTTATTTTAACTCGATTTTCGAAACTCAGTAAATAGGATTTAATGCAAATACGACTCGTGAAAATGGCGGGAGCTTACAGTAAACCTTTTAATATTAGTCTATTTTGGTATTATATAAAACAAATAATGAATGTTTTATTCGTGCAATGGTAAGAATATTTTCATTCGGTGAAAGATGGAATGTTCCATTCAACTCGGCTGTCGCCTCGTTGAATGGAACATTCCATCTTTCACCTCATGAAAGTATTCTTACCATTGCACTCATAAACATTCATTATTTGTATACACCCGGTACATAAACTTGTGGTTAGAGCTCGACAACTGGTCTCTGTAGCTCAGTTGCGCGCGTCTGTAGGTCAGTTGCCTCTATAGCTTAATTGGTTAGACCGCTGCACCGGAATCGCAGGGCCGCAGATTCAATTCCTGCCAGGCCCCTAAAGTTACATTTTTCGCTTCTGTTGCTGGTTATTTCTAATAAATGTTTATAAATTTGCACTCTCATAATGTTGACCTAGGTGATAGCTAACCCATCTTTAATCATAATATGTTTTTCCAGACACCAGTCTTCCAGTGATAACATTTGATAAACCGAGCCCCACAACACCTCAGAAAGATCTTGGTGTAACGTGGACATCTTCAGAGGATGCTGAGTTCGAGTGTGCATTAGAGACCCCCACGCAATACGAAGCATGTGGCAAAGGGACGACTGGAGGGTTCCAGAGGGATGACCTGCCTGATGGCCGACATGCATTGTATGTACGAGGAAAGGATGATGTGGGGAATGTTGGACTGCCCAGTGTTTACACTGTCACCACAGGTAAGGAAATGATTGTCTGTAGTTAGTTTTATTATATTTTAAAGTGCATATGACATGAAATTTCTTATTTCTTGAATGACAGAAATCTTTAAGCTGTAGTGTAACTTATTTTTCAGTTTCTTCTTTTTATGGTTTGTTCCCGAGATATCTCAGTTTGTTTGATATGTAAATGAGTGTGAATATGTCCGCTAATTTATGACGTCACGCCGGTTGCAAGCTCTTTAAAATGATTGAATATCACTGCTATCATCCAAGGTGATAATTCCAAACTTCACTCACTGGTAAATATGATGAAACACTGGAGAAAAACGTGAACTGATATCTACAGTTTTTAGAGTTAATACATTTATAACCAGTGTAAGTTGAGCTTGCAACCAACGTGACGTCATAAATTAGCGGACATATTCACACTCATTTACATATCAAACAAATTGAAATATCTCGGGAACAAACCATAAAAACAAGAAACTGAAAAATAAGTTACATTATAGCTTAAAGAGTTCTTTTAAGAAAATAAGAAATTTCATGTCATATGCACTTTAAAGGACATTGGCAATAAAAAAAATAGTTTCGTTTCTTTGAAAGAACTCTTAAAACTATATATTAAACTCTATTACAGATTGTTTATATCTTGTTTAGTTTTCAAAATATTTCGACTGAAAAAAGTGAGCTGTTCGCCATCTTGGATTATTGAGGATATGCATGTTACGTTAAGAGAGGGGTCACGCTAAGTTTTTATCTTGAGAGTAAGCGATCAATATGGGTCCAAAACTTCGTTTCTGGTTGCTGTCTGAAATTTAGAAATGATTAAAAACATTTCAAACAATTTTGGATTGTTACTCGGTCATTTTAGAGTAGTTTTATATGGTTAACCCAATTCCTAACGTCATCAAAACCATAGTTAATGAGGTCAAGAATTAGTCCAAGATGGCGGCCAGCTGATTAATTCCAGTCTAAGTATTTCGAGACCTAAGCAAGATATGACAAATCTTGTCTTTGCCAGTGTAGGTAGTTCCAATCAAATGAACAAGCTTTCGTTGGTAAGATACAACTACCTGAAAAATATAAGGAGAATATTCTTCGTTAGGTACTGTAGTTGCATCCCTATGCCAACGAAAGCTTGTTCAAGTAAATGTATTGGCTATAGTTAGTTTTATTATATTTTAAATCAATTTTATGTAAATCGCCATGATTTATCTGTATCAGATACAGGGATGGATTTACTAGAGAGGGCTGCGGGGTGTGTGCACCCCCTAGCCCTGGCCAGAGGGGGTGCAGGGGGGGGTGTTATTTTTCATGATAAAGCAAAAAATTGTTGGAGACAAAATGAGATACAGTAATTTGAGTAATAACATGATGATAAGCGAACTGTGAACAACAATTCAAATTCAAATACAGTAGTCAAGCAAGACTTTGCAGTGGTGAAGCAAGTTGATGGGCGGGCGGCACACATGACCGACACAACTCGGCACTAGAGCTGGCAGAGCACCCCCCCCCCCTGCCAGATCATGCTGGATCCATCCCTGATCAGATATAACATGAGCATCTGTATCAGATATACAAACTCTTCACGCAGTTCAAGAGAGGGACGATACGGTTGAAGAAAGTAATTGTTTTACACGGCGAAACTTTAAACATAAGAGAAGGGTTTTCACAATTACGAGTACGACTATGACTAACAATTGACACATAATTAGAAACATTTAAGTCATAATCACAATGAGACGATAATGTAGGTTCGCTAAAGTAGACCTTCCTTTTCATTTTCCAGATCGAACACCTCCTTCGCTCAGATTCACTGATCAGAACAATCCGCTCTCGAAGGAAACAACCGAAACCTTTACCTGGAGTGCAGACGAGACGGTGACATTCAAATGTAAAGTAGATGAACGTGAGGAGAGCGATTGTGGTCAAGGCATAGACGGAGAGTTTACAACACCAAACCTTCCTGATGGGGAACACGTTTTCCAGGTATTGTTGGTTCACTCTTACTTCCTAATCTCTTAGAGTATGACTAACCCCAAATATGATTTTTGGTATGGGTAATATTTGGGTCATTCTAAGAAGAAATGTAATATATCTTTATAATAAAAACCTCAACTTGGTCAACTTTTTCACTGTCATAGTTTCCGGATATGAGGTCATTAGGTGAATTTTTGGTGCAAAAAAAACAAAAGAAAACTAATTTGCAATTCACCTAATGACATCATATCCGGAAACTTTTACAGTGAAAAAGTTGATCAAGACGGAATTTTTTATTATAAAGATATATTACATTTCGTCTTAGAATGCCCCAAATATTACCAATACAAAAAAAATCATATTTGGGGTTAGTCGCACTTTTTAAAATGAAACAATTTAGATGCTCTTTGCCATTAATGGTTATGCAGATCATCTGTTAAACCATTGTTAATGACAAGAAATATGCCAAGCTAATCCACTGTCTTGCTCTAACAAATGTTCAACCAAAAATGGGTGACGGAAAGTGCGGTTTCTGGAGATAAGGGCCCACAGCATCACGGTGAGAGCACGGGCCCTCGCCGTTATGGACATTGAATCTCATGTCCGAGTTGGGCTTCCCCGTGGTGAAGTGACCGAGAGATGCGAAGATGAGGGTAAGGGTCCCCGCCGTTATGGACCTTGCTCCCCTTGCATGTGTGTGCTTCACGTGGGGGCCATGTGGACTTTGACATGACCACTTTCCGCCCCGCCTTCTTTATTTCTTCTTCATATAGGTAAATTGATTTACGTGAAACAGGTGCTTGTCCACTTCAAGTTACAATAGTTAGTTACTAATAGTGCCTATTTAGTGCTTATTCTTAATAACTGAGGTGGATGGATGAGATTTTTATTAGATAGATCAGTCCACTGTATTGTATTGTTCATCTAACAACAGGTAACACCAATCGACGAGGCTGGAAACAAAGGGGAAATGTTGGAAAGAAAATGGATTAAAGGTATGCCGACCGTTTCTGTATACTTTGGTACTATTGTAGCTGAGTCGAATTGTTCACTAGACTAGACGATAACAAAGGCGCTTGACAAATAGCACTTCTCTGTGACTTAACGCGCTTTTTCCGCGCACTTACTAAAACAAATTCACTGTCTTCTGTATAGAATGTTTTCTACTTCCCATCTGGTTTTGTTTTTACCTATATTAAGAACTGTAACAGTTTGTCCACACCAAAAGCAATTAATTAATCCATATTCGTTTTATTATTCGTCACAATTACGAGCTATTACAGTTCACTCTATAAATAACTTACAAAGTTTGTACTAAGTTCTTTGTATGTTTGCATGGTGATAAAATATAATAGGTTTTGTTTGTGGAAACACCACGTAAATTTATTACTGCAAGTAATAAATTTACGTGGTGTTTCCACAAACAAAACCTATTAAAGTTTGTACTACTGTTACCTAAGTTAAACAGTCCCTATTACAGTGTATAACAGTACCTACCAACAGTACCTATATAAGCTAGGTCAGTAATTTGAACAGAAATCCAAGCTTCCGACTTGTCAATGTGGTATGTTTTGACATTTTGAGGTTTGCTGATCCACGTCCCAAAAATGCAGTTCGATTTAACCGGGTAAATTTGACCAATGATGAATTTTGTTCGAGTTAAGCGATTTCGAGTTAGCGGGATTGTACTCTATGTAAAAATGAGCAACAGACCATTTACATCATGTAAATAAATTACTCAACTTGAATCTTATGTGGTGAACGTTTTCCCTAGATTCTACGCCACCGGACGTTCGTTACACCAACCAGCCACCCAAAGTGTCGAGAGATACAGTCATCTTCAAATGGCGTTCATCAGAAGCAGCATCATTCGAATGTGCCCTGGATGACACCAGGCAAGCTACTCGACCGTGTGGAAGCGGTACCACTGGCGAGAGGAGACTTACTAATCTTCCCATAGGTTCTCGAGTGTTCTGGGTTCGTGGTACCGACACTGCCGGCAATGTCGGTCAGTTTGTTTCTCATAGCTGGACTGTGGGTGAGTATAAACGTCGAGTTCTACTCAAGAAAATTTTTCACGGACAGAAAATTTTCCGAAAATATCATTGTTAAAAGCTGAACATCTTCAACTTCAAAATTTGTTTCCGATGGAAAATTTGTGTCGGCCAATTTTTATTTCCGTGGAAAATTTTCTTCAGTGGAAATGGTCCTTAATTCGGAGTTGAGAGTGTTCAACAGGGTTCGTATAAAACTTGAAAGTCCATGAATTTGTAAAGAAGTACTTGAAAGTCCTTAAATTTTTCTTGTTTTAGTTTTTGGATCTTTTCTGAAATTGTTTGACATTCAAAACGGACATTTTGTTGAATTGATTTGGCATGTTCATATCGGGCAACGCTGTTTGAAACTCATTAAAGTTGCGTTTTGAAAATTTCAACGTCAGATTTTACTGACTTCTAACCCCTTTCCTTCAGCATTTAGTCCTTGGATTTGCTGACACATGGCCTTGAATGTCCTTGAAAAGCCCTTGAGTTGAATTTGACTCTTTCTCACATGTACTGTACGAACCCTGGTTCAACCTACCTCCTGATAAAAATTCAAGTTCTGAAACCTTCCTTAAAATAATGTAAATTAATACGGCTTTTTCAAATATAAACTATAAACAACAAATATAAACTACAGGGTTTATAATTGCAGCTGGTACCGCCATTTCACAGCACTAGCAGACACCTTCTAAATTAGTCTTAATTAATTGAACGCTTAATAGGATGTTTGACTTATTTTCACAGACACCAATCCACCAGGTATTGAGTTCACCGGAGACCTTCCTTCCTTCTCTAAGAAGTCTAAAACATTCTCTTGGAAATCTAACGAAGACTCGCTGTTTGAATGTGCTCTGGATAACATGGCAAACTTTGGCCCGTGTGGCAATGGAATGAAAGGCAATCATACACTACAAAACCTCACGGAAGGAAGGCATACTTTCTATGTTCGCGCTAGAGATCGGCTGGACAATGTTGGCAATCCTATTTCACACTCGTGGATCGTGGGTAAGTTACAGTGTATGTACATTGCATTAAGCCTGCTTCACACCAACAATTCTGTCGGCGATTTTTCTCCACCTGACAAATGTGATCGAATGGCTGGCAT